CGCAGGGCGCCCAGAACTGCGCTGAGCCCCGAGCCCTCACAGCAAACCCCTGGTGTCGGCCGCCTAGTTCCCATTTTACAGATGAAGAGACTGAGGCCAGGAGGTGAGAACTTCCCCAGTGTCACACCCAGCTCACCACGGGCAGAGCCAAACCTCCACCTCGGCTCCGACTGAGGCTGAAGTCCACGCTTCAAACCTCCGGACGCTGCACCTTCTCTGCCTTCGATAGGTTTGGCACGGACAGCTTTGGGAATGACAGAGTGCGTCGGAAAAGTCCTTAGCCTGCCCCGACCAGGCAGGCAGCTCACTTGGTCAGCGCATCGTCCCGGTACCCCAAGGTTGCGGGTTTGATCCCTGGTCAGGGCAATACAAGCATCGACCGATGAATGCACAGACTGGTGGACCAACAAATCGATGTCTCTCTTTCTCTCTCCTTCCCTCCTTCCTCTCTCTCTTCAATTAAAACAACACAAAACGCAACTTAGCATCTACTTTGCTGTAACCCTGAGCCAGGAGCTGTCAATAGTACAGATGAGTGTCAGACCCACCCAGGTCCTCAGAGGGTGGGGACTAAGACCCGTCCCCACCGAGGGACGAGGCCCTGGAGGGCTGCCTGGAAGAAGTGGCCTTGGCACCCCCGATGCCCTCGTAGTGTGAGGTGCTGCTGGCACCGCTGCGGCCGGCAAGCCAGAGGCCTGGGTCCCAGACCCCGCTCTCCTCCAAACTCTCTCTGCGGCCCCGGGCAAGGGCGTCACCTCTCTGAGACTCAGTTTCCCCACCTGGAAAACAAAGCATCTGTGACATTCTCGGAGAGGCTTGTGGGGGGAAATGAGCAGAAAACGGGGGGCAGGGGAAGGCACACACACCAACGTGTGTAGGAGAAAGAGCCTCGAGGGGCCCCGGGTAGGCCGGTGGCCGGCGCCTGGGCTGGCTCTCCGGAGAGGAGAGAGGAGCCAGTGGGCAGCACGGCCACCTGGAGGGGCCCCTGAGCAGCCCTCGTCCCAGGCGGAGGTGCCCCCCGTGAGCCCCCACTGTCCCCCTCGCCCCAAGGCCGGTCCAGTCCCCAGCAGGCCCCGTGCGCAGGAGAGGACAGGCTGGGGATGAGGTCACGGCTGGAAGGGGCCGGGCTGGGGCTGCCACTCCAGGGTGGGGCCTGGGGTCACGACCCCGGGAGCCGGCAGCCAAGAAGGGAGGATGCCTTCCGTGAGGAAGCCGGGAAAACACACACACGCAGCATTTTGAGGCGGGAGGGAGGAAAACAGACTCGAGGCCGCAGCTGGTCCGGGGCTCTCCCGGCTGCCTCTTCCACGTCGCCGGCGGCTCACCCCCTGGCGTCCCCGCGACCCTGCCCAGCCGTGGCCCCCGGGGCCCAGCGCACGTGGTGCTGGACATGGACAGGAGCCGGAGGCTGGGCCTGGGGCGCCGAGGGGCCCGCCGCGCTGGGGGAGCACGGACTGCGTCAGGTACCACCAGAGGGGAAACCGAGGCACGGGAGGGGCCAGTCGGGATCGGGGTTTCGTCGCTCTTAGACTCTGCCCCCACTTCCTGTTTCCTGTGGGGTGGGGCTGAGGTTCTACAGCGGTTGGGGGTGACTGTAGGGTTGATGGGGGCTGGAGGGGGGGCAGAGGGCGGTGCAAGGCCCTAGAAGTCCGTGCAGAAGGATGCTGGGGCGAGGCTGGGCCAGGGGAGCGGGGGAGGGCGGCCCCCGGAGAATCAGGACACCTAGTGAGACGCGGGCAGGGAACCCTGGGGGCCCTGTGTCCAATGGATTTGGGGGTCCATGTCTGAAATCCAAGCTGCGTCAGGTGACAGGTCCGAGAGACGTGGGGGTGGGGCTGGGGGCTGATAGTGCCAGGTGGGGCCTTCTATGTGCCCCCCCCGGGAAGACACAAGGTATTGGGGGGCAGGGAAAAGGAAGGAGAGCTGGCCGGGGCTCTCCCAGCCTCCTTCCTGCTGGGCAGCGCAGGTGGGATCGGCAGTTTTATCGCCCCACATCCCAGGTCCCCCGAACATGGGGTACGCGAGCCTGCGGGGGGCAGGTGTGTGTATGGGGGGGCGCAGTAGTGCTATACTGGCATGAGGAGGGAGGGGCGCCTGGCTGGGCAGGTCTGGCGTGTGGCGAGGAGCAGGAGTGGGGGGCACGCATGGAGGATGGGGGAGGGGTGGGAGGGAGCACTGGGGGCCAGGGAAAGCCCGTGGGGCTCCCCGACCTTGGAAACCCAACTCTCCCGCCCTCCTTTCTGCTCAGGGCTGCGGTGGGGTCCCAGGAGAATGAGCTCAGGGGTGCCCCGGGTTCCTGCTCTCTGGCCAGCACCCCCACCTCATGTTAAATAAGGGAGGCACCCCTGTGTTCATTTCGCCCTGGTACCCCCAAATAGGATGGGTGACCCTGCCTTTGAGACTCGGGAAGCACCTGGCGGGGCCCCCACCATTCTCTGGGGCTTCCAGGGCAGGTGTGGGGGGCACAGGGCTCTGTCCTCCCCAGCCATCCCTCTGCACCCCCAGAAGGGACCCAGGCCCCACTTGCTAAGCCCCTCTCGGTCTCCGCTTCAGAGTCCTTCCCCGCGGGAACGCTGGCCTACCTTCCATTGGGGGGGGGGTGGGGAGCTGTAAAGAGTTTAGGTAAAACCCAGACCCCAGACGCCTTCCCAGGAGCTGTCTGTCCCCAAATGACCCAGTCACAGCAACCTCCCACCCCCATCCTCCCAGCCCCCTCCCCAGCCATGCAGAGTGCTGATGGGGTCGATGGGGGGGGTGGGGGGACCCCGGACAACTGTTCCCTGGGGAGCTCCCCTTTGCCCAGCGGCAACGGGCAGGTTCCTATGAGGTGGCTCCCTGTGCCCACGTTCAGTTCCCGCTTTATTACCGTCTAAAGTCCAGGCCGGGTCCCAGCCCCTCTTCCTGGAATCTCCTTCTCAGCCAAACCCCAGCCTGCCTCCTGCCCACTGTCCCCCAAAACCCTCAATCGGGGGGGGGGGCACAGGTGCCAGCCTCCATCTACTTGCTTAGTCTCAAGCCACCTCCCCAAACCCAGGTGAGTCAGGGCTGTCTGGGGCGCCCACTACCTGGGGACCCTGATGACTCGGCCTGGGGACCCTCCCCCCACCTTCCCCAT